GAGTATATCAACTCTCTCTGACCCCTCCTCTTGTCACCACCATAGAGGTGTGCAGATAGATATTGAGAAATTAATGGAAGAAAATTTTTCCACTCTTTTTATCTCTGAAGGTCAGTTATGTATTTGCGTATGCACAGCGTTATTCTCAAAATAGCTGCATCCTTGTATATAGGAGTTGGTGTTGGCTCTTGCCTTTTATGTTGGGGTTTTACAAGGTTTAAATAAGGTTTGGCTGTATGGCCAGGCCTGCTGTCTCTTATTAGGGTGGGTCAGAATAAAGGCTTCTGCCCAGGCCAGCTTTAGGGCTGAGTCTCTGAGTCAGAGGTCATAAGAAACATCCAGAGGATTAGCTTGTGGGACCACTTTCAGAGATTTCCTCTTTGTGCAGTGGTAAAATTGTACTCTGTGGGTGCACTGCTGGTCCCTTTTGGGGATGCCCTCCCACCCACCTGAAGTTGTCTGGGCTTGACAGAGAGGGTGCAACAGGGAAGTGGAGGAAAGAAAAGTGTAAAAAGCTGTCACACCTCTTTTTCTAGAAGTGGCTCCATGGTTTCAGTACTGTCTCAGCTTGGCTGTGTCCCTGCCCTCTAATCTCATCCCAGGATGAGGTGCCTGCAGGTAGTGTCCCGATCGATTCAGAAATTGCCATGTATTCCCACCACAGTCAGATTTCTCCACCGGTGGGTGCTGAAAATTGATGCCCCACCATTTATAATAGCTCCAAAGCTGTGGAATGTTCCAGCAAAACACCGTCTCTGTTTTTTTTTTGTGCCTCCACTGAGGAGCCTCCCCTGCATGTTTGTGCTTCTCCTGCCCCCAAACCAGAAGTCTATATTTTGTTTTATGTTTCATTTAGAAGACTTTTCATTTTTTAATCAGAACAGTATTAAGTGTATGCAATTATAAATTAAATATTCTTGTTAATTGTTGGTAAGCGTTGTCAAGTTTGTTCTGACTCACAATGATCCCATTCAGCATTTTCAAGAAAAAACTGGTGGGTTTGAACCACCAACCTTCTAGTTGGCAGTCCAGTGATTATCCTATAGTGCCACACTACGACTCCATACTTGCAAATTAAAGTATTTAAATTCTTTCATTTCTTTCAGGAATTCCAGTAAAAGCATTCTGTGTGGCTTAGTGGAGCTTGTAATCATTATAGAATTTATTTTTAAACTACTGTGAATTAGAATTTTTCACTGAAATACACACAACTCACAAATGATAAGATGTACAGTTTACATTAATAAAATTTTTAACAAGTATTCATTTTTCTATGACTTCTTATGCATGTTACATTTATCAAGTACAGTAGATGATTCATAAACTAGTACTGAATTATGTATTTTGACCTTGAGCATTTTTTTTTTCTAAAGTGGTTTATATCTGCAATCATCAGAATTGAGATTGCTTAATCCTACTTTAAATGTATTTTGTTGTGTAAATATAATATCCTGTTGCTAAGTAAATATATCATATCAGACTGTTTTTACAGCTCTATTTCATGTTTTTAAAGTCATCACCTTTCTTCATTTACCTCATGATAAACAGAACCATGTGTAATTTATTGAGGATTTCATGAGATGAGCGTTTACCTACTGGCAACTATGACTCTGTAATGTGCTGATAACTCAGTTTACATCATAATCTCCCACTGAGGGAGCTGTTCTTTCAAATTTTTGAATGAGGTTATAAAGATGACTGAGGAATAATTTTTGAGTTAAGGTTACTCAAAGTTTCAAAAACAACATGAAAACTCATTTTATAATTGCTCTTACCACCAGTCTCAGATGAACCAAACAGATATTTACTACACTCTACTAGTGTCTGTCCTGTGTGGTGCTGTAGGATAAGCACTGAACTGCTGACCACAAGGTCGGCTATGCAGATCCACCAGTTATTCTTCAGAAACCCTATACAGTGTTGCTAAGAATCATAACTGACTAGAAATCACTTAACAAAATCAACCAGTGTCTGTTTTCAAATTGCCTTGCCAATATCAATCACAGAGATGTTGAGACATGCAACTGATGATATTCTATTTTATATGACTGATAATATTCAAGGACTAAGGCAGGCTTGAAAATAAATAAACCAGTTGCCATTAAGTAGATTCCAACTCAAGGTGACCCCATATGTGTGAGAGTAGAACTGTACTCGATAGGTTTTTCAATGGCTGATGTTTTAGAAGTAGATAACAAGACCTTCCTTCAGAGGTGTCTCTATGTGGACTTAATCCTCAGTCTTAAGTTTAGCACAACAATTCATTAACTATTTCAAACATCCAGGGTAAATATAATAATTTCCCCAGAAATTTCTACTTATGATCAATTTCTACAGAAAAGAGATCATTAATAAATATCTACATCTTTTTTTAAAAACATGACTCCTCCATGATGATTTATCTTTCAGATTATTTTTGTACTTATTTTGAGTAAAAAATTCCATTGTATATAGCATTTTGATGCTGCTTTTATTAACTCCTTATTAGCTATTACTCATTGTTGTTGTTGTTAAATGCTGTTGAATCTCTACCAACTCATAGCGACCTTGTATAGGTACAAGGAGCAGTGTGTAGGTTTGAATTACCAACCTTGTTGTAAGCAGTCCAGTGCATATCCTACAGCACCACAATATGAGTCCAAATGTTGATTACGACTCAAGATCTCAGGAATCCCACAGAGCGACTTGTAGATTCAAACTACTGACCTTGGGGTTAGCAGTCCAGATTGTACCCCATTATGCTATTGGTCAGTATTAATAAATCTATCCTAAATTTACATTAAATGTATTAATGGAATGTTCAGGTGAAACCAAAGCTACATGAGCAAGGTATCACTGACTTGAAGCTAAATATGTTGTTATTAAGTTCCATCAAGACTCAGAGTGACCCCGTATAGCATTTCCAAGGTGCAGCTCGTGGGTTGGAACTGCTAACCTTATGGTTTAAACCAACCTTGCATCCAGTGCACACCAGGACTCAGATGGTATGCACTGTTGACTTGAGAAGCTTCTTGTGAATGAATGAGAAGAGTTTCATGGGAACAACTTTTTAAATTTTAAATTTTAATAAAACAAAAACATTTCCAGTCCAGTTGATTGTCGCTCATAGCAAATCCATGTGTTACAGAGTAGAATAAGGTTTTATATAGAATTTTCAAGGCTATAACCTTTTGGAAGCAGATTGCCAATGCTTCCAAAGTGCCTCTGGTTAAGTTCTAAATGTCAACCTTATTGTACATTGTCAAATGTTTGCACAACCCAGTACTCTTTTGAGATTATTCATCTCATAATCTTGCCTTTATATTTTGTTAGAGTGATGCCGTTGAGGATATTGAAATTTTGGTAAGACAGATATAAAAAGAAATTGGCTTTGAAACAAAAAGGTTTTTTTTACAACTATAAATATATACTCTTGCCTAAGGCAAACAAACAACCTAAAACTTTATTATGTCTATGTTCTTAATGAAAATTAAAGAATAATCATCTATTTTTTCATGAGATATGCTTAAATCTTCTTTTAATCAAGTAATTTACATGTCTCTCTCTCTCTCTCTCTCTTTTTTTTTTTTCCATTTTAGCATGTGGAGAAACTTTACAGGAATCCAATGGCAACCTTTCCTCCCCAGGATTTCCAAATGGCTACCCTTCTTATACACACTGCATCTGGAGAGTCTCAGTGACCCCGGGGGAGAAGGTAGTTTATAACATCAAGAGTTTCATTTGAGTTTCATATAAGTACAAAGGTTCACTCATTTGCTACATATAATTTGCTTTGTCTATGAAAAGTCTTATTTAATTGTATGTAAATAACAGATTTTAAAGCTCAGAAAATTTATAATGGAAATGACTTAAAATCAAGTTTGTTTGTTTGTTTTCTAAAAGAGATGACCTTAAAAAAGCTTAAAATAAAAATACTTTAAAATGATTGAAATAATACAGATGACTTGTCAGACAAAATTAAATTAACAATCATTATTAAAAGATTACTAGGAAAATATCCATACCTTTTTACAGTCAGAAATAGACATATAAATATCCATTTTATTCAAGATCCTATAACAAGAATTATCTTCAACTGTAATATAACAAGCATCCCAAATACCAGAGTTGTATGATGCAACTAAATCAGTAACTAGAAGGACATTCATAGTCTTTAATACTTAACTATAAAATAAGAAAAATCCTAAATTAATGAGCTAAATATCCAATATACTGAAGTTATCACAGGGGTTGCTATGAGTTGTAATAAACTCAACAGCACGAAATGATATATATATGATAAATATATGTGTGTGTGTGTGTGCATGTGTATATATATACATGGTGGTAGTGATGTATTGTGTAGTCGGTTCCAACTCATTGTGACCCTGCATAAGGTTTCCAAGGCTGTAAATCTTTATGGGAGCAGGATGTCTCATCTTTCTCCCACAGGTCAGTAGTTTTGAACTGCTGACCTTGAGATTACCACTACACTAGCAGAGTGTGACCCTGTGGTTTTATGAACTAGATTGCAAAGCCGGTTTGAGCCTGAAAGGTGGCAGTTCAAGCTCACCAGTGCGCCTTGGAAACCTTATGCAGTATCAGTATGGGTCGGAAATAACTTGATAGGCACTTAACAGCAATAACGTGTTTGTGTGTCTGTGTGTGTAGGAGTCCTGGTGTGCCACTGTAAGATAAGCACTGAACTGCAGTTTAAACTTCAGGGTCTGTGGTTCAAATCCACCAGTAGCTCCTTGGCAATGCTATACAGGGTCACTATGAGTTAGAACTCTCTCACTGGGAAATAACAAGAAGTCATACTAAGAAATTGTTTTTATGCTAGGAATGCGAGGTTAGTTTACATTAGAAATGTAATACTAACACATTAACTATATGTGTCAATTAAACAAAGAAAGAAATCTAGTTATGATTTAACAACATCAAAAAACTTCGCAAACAAGGAACAGAAGACAACTTCTTTAATCTAAGAAAGGAAATTGCAAAAAATTAAAGCAAATATCATTGTTTTGGGGAAAATTCTACAAATAATTGTATTTGAAATAGACAAAAGACAAGGATAACCATTATCACCACATTTTGGTACAAAAGTCCTAGCTATTACATTAAGGAAAGAAAATGTAATACACATAAAAAGGTTAGAAAGTAAGACATTAACTTCCCTTTATCAGATTTACTTGTTTGATTTATTAAAATTTGATTTATTAAAATTATTTAGAACCAAAATCAGTTAATCTATTAATTACTGGGTTCTCTCTTGAATGTGAACCTTAAACATTTCAGCCCAAGATTATATCAATATTAATCTTTAAATTCTCCTATTTATTACCATATTAACACAGATAATACGTGCCTTCTACTTGTTTTTTTTCCCCCTCAAAACTGTTTCTTTCCTCTGGGAGGTAGGTTCATAACCACAGCTGTGTCTTTTTTTTTTTTGCAGCCTGTGAAAAATATTAGCATAAAACATTTATAAAACTACCTCATAGGAGGAGGGACACATTGGCAAACAAATATAGAAGTATGTGTTATTTGCATTAGAATATGGTATATTCTATTTTGCATTTGAATATACAAAATACTTTTTATTTTGCCTTTAACATCTGGAATCATTCCGCTATATAATTATCTTTGGTAGGAATGCAGTGGCAGTTAAAGAACATTTTATGTCCCTAATCATTGGATATTACTAGAGTATGCCCTGAGTGTTGCAATAGTCATAGTGAAGCTTTTTGAATGAAACATAAATAATTACATAAAATGTTACTACTGCCACCAAGCAATGAAATATATAGACAGTTCTTCCTATAGATATATATTTTTTTAATCACATATAATTTAAAAATAATGTTTCATTGTGTTTGGGTTAAAGTTTAGACAGAAAATTAGTTTTCTTTTTACCAGTTTATCTAAAAATTATTCTATGCTAACGGTTACAATTTTTACAATGGGTTAGCATTGCCATTCCATCCTGTTTGCCTGTTTTCCTAGCTTCCCTCCTTGGCTCTCTTCAAATATTTCAGGTAAATGTTGACCCTTTGGTCTTGTATGTAGTTAATATTTTAAGAATATTTTAAGGGAGCACATTGTTCACTAGTGACATTATTTACTTTAGAAACCAGTTTATTATTTGGTTGAGAGGTGACTTAACAGAAATAGTTTTCATTTTAATTCAAGACTATTTTAAGAGATAGTCTTGTGGTTTCCTCTAGTCTCTATTAGTCCAGTAGGTCCAGTAGGTCTGGCCTTTCCTAGGAGTTTGAATTTTGTTCTACAATTTTTCACATTCCCTTCAGGGTCTTCTGAATTTAATGTATAGGAGTGCGAATACAAATTCATGCTAATACAAACGTATATCTGTAGGCATATATAAATAAATATATATGCACATATGCACTCCTATACACATATATGCATCCATATATACCAGTGTTTTTGTAGACATATATATTTTTTGGTTTTGTAGTTATTGCAGAATCATATATATTATAGCATTGATAGCAACTTTTTCATTTTTGGGTACTTTTTAGTGCCTTTATTTACCTTGCACAAGCTGTGCTGACTGTACCCATATTCTATCACTACAAGTAACAAGTGTCTACTGTCTAGAAAGCGATTCCCCACGTATTCTCCTTCCATCCGCAATAACCATCAGTGACCTTTGCTTTTGTTGTATGTCTCTGTTCTTTACTTTTTATAATAGTTGGACTATACAGTATTTGCCTTTGGTGATTGTTTTATTTCATTCAGCATGTCTTCCAGATTCATCATGTTATAAGATGCTTCTCTTCATTATTCTTTGTATTTCTGTAGCATTCCATTGTATGTAAGTAACACAATTGATCAGTACATCAATTCACTCAAATGGGGGCCAGCATTTGTTATTTTATGGTTTTTTTTATTACTGCCATTTTGTAGTGGCTTATAAAAGTTGGTGATTCAAGCTCATTATCCACTCCTCAGAAACCCCGTACAGGGTCGCTATGAGTCAGAACTGACTGTATGGCACTTAATAACAACAACATAGCTATTTTTAATTTAAGAAATATAGCTCTTTGTAATTTTTATAATTACATGATTTTCATAACAAGATTAATCAATTTATATAAGCTCATGATAGCAAAATGACATCTTGAGAAAAAAATTCTTCTTATACAAATGGATTATATGAAGAATACAGCATCAGGATTTGAGGAACACTCATTAATAATCTGCAATATGCAGATGACACAGCTTTCATTGATGAAAACTGAAGAACACTTTAAGCACTTATTGATGAAGATAACACACACACACACACACACACAGAGGCCTGGAAGTAGTGTGCAAAATGTAGTCTGGGGAGAGAAAATGTTTTCCAAGGTTGGTGGCAACAGATGCTGGGCTCAGGAAGTTCTAGGCACCACATCTGTCTACAAGGCCTCTAGGGACTAACTTGATCACCAGCTTGCAAACTGAAATCATGCATCTGGTGGAATAACAAGTGGACACTATTCTTCATCTGTGTAAGATAATTTTTTTCAGAGGATTTTCCATAGGAGCAGTGACACAGATAAATAGCACCTATGCACTTAGTTCTTCATTGAGAACTACATTATATCATATTGTACTCCCAGGTGATATCTTGGATGATGATAGCTTTTCAGAGAACTCTGTTTTCCTGGTTTTGTTCTTTGCTGCTTTTCTTCATGTGCCACAATTGCCCCAAAACACAACTTTTGTACTATACATCTACCAGTGCTTTCAAGTCATGAAGCAAGGCCTAAAAAACTATACCTGAGCAAAAAAAGCATGCATTCATGAATTTCTGGAAGATATGAGGTCAGTATACAACTATCAATGAAAATGAGGTTGAGTACTCAGACTATCTCCAAGACTGCGGTATGTACTTAGAATCAGAAGACAAGACCTTAGCAGAAAAGCTAGCCCAAGAAACTGAAGAAGAGAAGATTCAGACTCTGCTGAATGCAAGTTGTGACAACATGTAGCTGGACACAAAGTCTCAAAATAGCAAGGCAAGACTATGGCTCTGGATGAAAGATGGTGTCAGCAACTCTGAAAAAATGTATTCCTTAGTTGGATCCAGAAACAACACAGTTTGAGAATATGCAAACATACATCCATTCATGGAGATGGCACCTAACCAGTCCCCCAGAAGCTAATCCTAACACTTTCATAGCAGGAAACATGGAAATTGATCCACAAGGGCTCCTTTTTTTCACAACCAAGGAACTCTTAAAGACATAATCAAATAAAATCTGCAAAAGAGGCCTGTAGAAGATTGAATGTAGCTCCCAGGATGGGCAGCTGATCATTGGTTTATCAGCACTCCACTTCAAGATACATTGACCTGAGTGTGGGTGAACTTGGGCTGTGGGTCATCTTCTATGGCCAAGCATCCATGACCATTTGGTTCTTAAGAAAACTGAGCCTGCCTCATTGGAAGTGGGGCACTCATGAGACACACCAAGCAGAAGTTAGAATGCCAAAGTCTCATATCTCTTGCGTGGTATTCTCTATGTTGTCTCTAGTTCTAGTGGCATTAGAATTAATTTTATTATGTCTGTCTATGATCTGCTTGGCATTGCCAGTGAGGAGCATCTGCCCAACTTTTTCTTCCCCAGGGGACAGATAAGTCACTTCAACATCCATTACAATCTCAGACAAAGAAAAAAATCTATGTGTAATAAAGCATAG